TTAACAGAATTCTGTTTGTACTATGATTAGACTACACTTAGACTGATCTCTCCTGGATCTCTGTTTTCTCCATTTTTTTCTTTCTTCTATTACCCATTTTTTGGAAGAATCTACTTTCCAAGTTGGGCCATAGAGATGTTTGGGTTTATTTACTAGAGAAATAAATATATTGTGTGAATATTTACTTTCACTATCCTATTATGTAAAAAGAAAATACCTGTTCACTGTGAATAACCAATTATGTGCAGATGATACAAGTGAACACAAATTTGTTTTTCACATGACTGGACAATTGTAGTGAATATTCACACAATTTATTGTGTGAAGATTTTCAACTCCTTCAGCAGATCAGCCTTAGTACATCAATCAGATACATGACTTGCTTTTTTAGAAACTAGATTTTATAATTGTTTAACTTATTCTGTTTGAAAAGAATACAAATGACCTACCATTGTTTGTGGGAAAGCCATAACAACTAATCTACACTGAACATGCAGATCAGGTAACACAATGCAACAATCTTTCTAGGAGTATGAATTCATAGCTTAGTACACAGAAACCACTTACTAATTTTGTAATTTAATATCCCTAAGTAGGCAGTGCATAAAAATATGTACAGAAGTAACAATTAAAAAAAAAGAATAAGAAAGGCAACGACATACAAAACTGTGACTATAATATACAAGAGGAGAAAAGTGTTTATTGTTTGGGCTGTATTGTTTTTTTCTGTTGCTGGGAGCAAGCCGAAAGTTCCACCAATCTGCCTTATTTAGAACACCCTCCATGCATATGACAATGTTCATATTATAGCGTACTCAATTTATAGAGGAAAGATGGGGGGTGGATTTATCCCCTTTGGCTAATCCTCTTTTGGATGGGTAACCTGTCCCTATAATAAGGCAGCCTGAGGCTATATCCCCAGGTGGCATCTCTTTGGCTCACGTGGGGGACAGCAGGCAGAGTGGCATGTTTGCAGTGTGCCTACCGCTCCCTTTCCGGCCACAGCACCCCCAGGTGGCTAAGAGCCAGGTGGGAAGATGTGTAAGAGTCATACATATCTACCCACCCAGCTCTTAGCAGGATAGCAAGAGCACTGCAGGATGCCTGCCACAGCGTCCTACCAAGCTCCTGGCAACCAGTCACATCAGTGCTAAAAAGTCCCTTCTTAAAGGGAAAATGCTCTGGCACAGTCCCAGGTGTGGCCCAGGATATGTCAGGATATTTCTAGTGTGCATAGAGGAAGTCCTCAAACAGTGGGTGTAGCAGAAAGGTCTCTGCAGCCTCAGGAGCTCTAACAGACCCAAGGTCTATAATAGTAGGCCGATCTTCCAAATCCAGGGTGATACACACTGCGCCACTAAAATTTGAGCCAAGCCCTTGCAAATCTGAGTCAACTGCAGAAGACTGCAGTGACCCAAAAACAGCCTCTTGACTAGTGAGATTCGGAATCTGAATGAGAAATAACAAAAGGGGCTGCAGACCCGGTTTGGCTCAATGTCACTGAAGGGTCAGAAGGACTATGGAGGGCATGATGCTGGAGTGTCTTTAGAACCCCAACTGACAGAACAATCCAGTAGCTAGGCACAAACACCTAGGGAGTCCCTAGTGGACTTGGGGGAATCCTCAGACTCCACAGATGAAGATCTTATAATGATAAGGTTTCCCGATTACAGGTGTCAGTTTCATTTGGGGATACCAGGTGAACACCCCCATAACCATAAGGAGAGCATGGGCTCAGGTCACCTGTAGCAGCAGAACTGTCCTTCTGTGTGTGAGAAGATGCTGTGTGGTGGTCAGAAGCAAGGCCTCAATTATTCAGAAACCCAGGCAGCTGGTGCTGAAGAGTATTTTAGGCAGCCAGAGGTGACCAAGTCACTGTTGGTAGGCAGTGGAATGAAATCAGAGACCAGAGATCCACTTGGTACTTCAGAAGCCAAAAAAGCAGCTGGATGGTGAAGGCTGAACGGAGGGAAGAAGCATGCAACTAGCACTCTACTTAGTGGATCACATTGGTGCTCAATCCCTCAGCCTTAAACCTTACCTTGGTGAAGATGTCAAATGTGGGAAGTTGTAAAATGGCATTCAATCATACCAACTGTGAGGTAGCTCTTGATGCTCCTGAGGCTTCATCCTGGCCTTTCTTATTTACCATCCAGGCTGGCCTCCCCTTGCTCAGAGGCCTTACCACTACCTGAGTCTTCAGTGAATAATTTACACAGGAGGTTGTGTCATGGTCTTGATTGAAGTCACCGAAGTGTACCAAGAGTCTTAACTGTAGGGCTGCAACTAATGATTATTTTAATAATCAATTAGTTGTCCGATTACTTTTTCGACTAATCGAATTAAAAAAAACAAATAAATACCATCCTTAATTTAAATTAAATACACAAATGCAGTGTTACAAACATAACGTTTACTATAGAATAAAACTGCATTCATAATTTTTTGCAATCGCACTGCACGGGAATGCACAACATTGCAATACCATGCATTCCAGTGCAGGTGACCACACTGTGGGTGGGAGGCGCGTTTGGGGTTCCATTGAAATGAAGGGCACTGCAACGCACCTCCTGCAGCAGAATTTGTCAAGCCGAAACCGAAAATGACTTTTTCCCCACCTTTTATAAAAAAAAATTAAATAACTGTATTGTAAGTACATAGCCGTTGAATATCTTCAGTAAGGGAATGACAGCTGCCAGTGGCAAGATTTCGCAGGGCTGGTGCAATAGCCAGTCTGCTATTGGCCATTTCAAACTCTGATAGCTAATAGCAGGCTGGCTATTGTACTTGAATTGTACTATTGTACTACTGTGTAGCTTCCCATGCTTTTCTTTGACAATTACTTGCCTATTAGCAAACAGGACTCACAACCATAGACTTCAGTGGGATTTGCAAAGTTTGGATTCACAGAGTTTCTAACAGGATTCACCAAACCCTCTGCAAATTGGACCCAGGCAGACTTGCTCATCCCTACTGATAATGGCAACTGACCTCCCTGCAAATTATTAACATAGAAGGTGACTGTCCAACATCCGTTCATAAAGTGTATGTATGGGCAAGCTGACAAAAAAACAAAACGTATTTAGTAAATCCTTGAAATGCATGCATATTTTTGACTCTTTAAAAAAGCACAAGTAAAGAAAAAACCTGTAGAAATCCAATTATCTCCTAACTTCTTGTAATAAGAAGACAATGCTCCACCTTAATCTCAAGCACTTTATTAGCCATGCCTAGTTCATCTCTGTGAACTACAAAATACCTATCCCTCACCTTGTCTTCATGACATGGGTGAAGTATTTTACAGTTCACAGAGTTTTGAAGTCCTAATGCACTTCCTGTTGTAGGGTGACATAAATGATCCACCATAGATACAGTACAGTGAGCGAGTGTTATTACCCTAGGACAGGAAGTGTGTTACTGGCAGGACTACCAAGTGAAATACTAGGACAATAAGTCTGAAAAGTAAAAGTGATACATCCACCACATCTAAGGACTGGTAAGTTTCAATGAATTACATTTTTGCTCTTAGGTTTATATATACTTTAAGGGCTGTAGCAGACTCTTTAGTTTTAATTAGTGACTTTATCATTATTTAATTCATTATAGTCGGTAAATGGGAGGAATATGGCCCTCGATCTAGTTGCAGATCTTATTAAAGACATATCTTTAATAAAAATCATGTGTACATTATACAAGTTCTGCAGTAAGATTAAGTCAATGTCTTCTCAGAGTTTATTCAGCCACAGAAACTCTGTAATATTTGTCAGTGATGCAAAGGTTGAGTTGGCAATCATGCCCAGTTGTGCAGTACTGACACAGAAAAACAGACATACCTACATACAAAAGCATTAAGACAAATAAAGTGCATATATTACTAGCCATACTTTTATCAGCAGTTTTATTGTAAATAATGCTCATTGCACTATACAGTATGAACAGAACATTAACAGCAATGGAAATTCTTAAAAATATATTTTGTTTTAAATGTATTTCTTAAATAATCCTAGTACATTGCATACATTGCAAAAAGCTCTGAACACACTGCACATTTGCCCAAAGTATTTTTTCCCCCCAAGGGAAACTTACTAGTCATATAATAGTTGTATAAATTACAAGAGGAACACCAAAAAAATTGGTTACTGATATTAATTTAGCACCAAATAGCTAAAATTCCCGTTAAATGTATTATATTTCACTTAACCGAGTATTTGTTTCCCCCTCTTTGGAATATAAATAACTTTATATATACAAAGGTAAAGAATACATATTGATGTGAATATGAGTATATTTTACGTTATACTACTTACAGTCTACTTTAGTGTTACTAGGACCGTGTTGAAAGCATACACATGAATGTAACTGTGTATGCTCATGATGCTCGCCACAGCTTTGCATGACCAGTATAAAATTATATACAGGCATTGTAAAAAACATTAATAATATAACGGGTACAGCAACCTAAAGCCACCAATCATGTTTCAGATTTCTAGTCAGATCAGTGAAAGATTAAAGTGGAACTCCGCATAGATCTAAAAATATATAAAAACACAAATAAAATGTAGCTCTGTATTTACCAATACATCATACATTTTTTCAATGTAAGCAATGTAAGTACCTGAATTTGAAAAAGTATCAATGTCTGGCAACCCACTGTACAGCAGAGCTATGACAGGGAAAGGGAGAAGCAGCTCCAGGAGCCAATAGGTTTTGCTGCATTATTCAGGTGCTAACACGGGACATTTTGACATAAGAGTAGCAGAAATATAAGTTCATCAGTCTGCTGCTTCTCCTTTCACTGTCCAGCCACAGACTGGGGGAGGGACAAGACCTTTAAATATTACATAACTGCAGCAGAGAAAAATCACATCTTCTGCCCTGCCACGGCTGTGCTGAGTGGCAGATTCTGTGGCAGGCAAAACAGTTCCTTTATATGTTGGCCAGGAGTTCAGCTTTAATTCTAACTTATTACTGCCCTTTTTACATTGCTCTCTGTCTTACAGGTTGAAGAATGTATAGGTAGGAATGCATGTTTATATATATATATATATATATGTTCATTTACATATAAAATCATTTTGGTCAACAGTCCCAAGTATACTGTACATTTCCACAGTAAGGCATTCATCAATATGGATTTATTTCTTGTGACGGAATGTATTAGGACACGCCATCTTGATAATGTGCATAAGTGATACTTAACAAGAAATGCAGAGATCCTGCTAACTGCATGAGTCCTTTGGGTTTCCAGATTAAAGGCCTAAATAAATGTCTAAGAACTGGATGTTGGGCTATGCTTTTTCTTCTTTCCTTTGCAAGATTTACAGACACAGCAAATAATGCATGGTGATGCCAAAAGGAGTAAGGGTGATGTCACAATTGCAATGATACCAAGGCCAACTAGGATTCCCACAACCTGCATTGAAAAACAGTGAAAAGATTCTGTAAAATCTGACAGTGATCATAAACAATACATGTTATTCTTACTTACAGTACAATTGGCAAAAGTTATATTTAACTAACTCAATACAGAACAGCCCAAATCATTTTTTTGTGTATTTTTTCAGACGTGAGTAACATGAAGTCACTAATTACTGACTGATTTAATTTCACTACATCATGTGTCTGAATACTGCAGAAGAATGGCACCGTGTACAGCTAAAGCTGTGTTGTAATGTTATAGATGGATTACCAGTCAGATCAGTGAAAGATATGGCCATATTTGACAGCAAAGGTCACAACCTGAAACTGCATGTCTTCAAGACACACACTATTACCCATGTTCTGGAGGCAAATCTTAGTCTATTATGCTGGTGATAAATTTTTCTCGTTCAGCCGCAGGGGCAGAAATCACTTAATTTCCCCCAGCCAGGCTAAAGAGAATCTTCCCTGCTGGCAATTGTACTCTGACAGCCACTGCTGATGGCTGAGAGAATATCTGAACAGTGACTGCAGCTAACTGGCCGGCAATTTCCTCCCCACTCCTTCAACAAAAGTCGATTTTAAAAAACAGCAGGGTGGTGCCTGTAGGATCACCCATGGTTTGAATTTCAATGCATTCAGCAGGAAATTACATAAATTTATTGGTGTATAGTAATGCCAGCACAGGCATAGTAGATGCTGCAATATCAGACCCAAAAGGCATGTAGGGATATGAACACCAACCATCAATTGTGATTCAACTCTTGGCCTCGCTATTAGAGAAAACATAATGGAAGCAGCCTTGCCATGTTGTTAAAGTGTATATAAAGCCATTTTTGGTTCAGGTAGCGAAGTGAGTGGTTAAAACTTCTGTAGGGCTTTAATTGCCCGAGCCAAGCACCCTGCTTCTACATTGGTGTATGAGAAGTTAGCACATGTGGACTGTCTGTACACAGGATTTTAATGCTGTCTGTGTCCCTGATAGGGAAATTTGCTCTCTCTATTTGTCTGAAAGTGATAGAAAACCCAAATTTTGTAATTGTCACCAAAACAGGGGGATTTGTCTAAGATTGTTTCATCTGAGAGAGGAATGTCCCTGCATTGCAGACATATCTCACTTCCTGTTGTGTCTATAGGACAGAAAGTTAAGGAAAATGTCCCCAATAAGACATTAAAAAAAAAAAGAACAGGAGTTTTAACTATTCCCTACTCCCTACAAAATGAAAAATAAAATTTGGGCTCTAGTTATACTTTAGGCAGGGCACTTTATGTCTTTTCCTTACATCCTGGTCCAATCATGCAGTTAAGAAAACCTGCCTTAGACAAGGAAGTTGCTATTTAATGTAATGCTAAAACATACACTGAAATATACAAATTCAGTTCTTTTTTCATGTATTGCAGACAGTAAATAGTTGTTTTGCAGAAAGGGATAAAGGTCGAATACAAATAGAACAGTATATTTTATCTAAATGAACAGTTCTACAGAGCCGGTACTAGGAAGAAACGACCATTCCGAATTAATTTGGAGATTGTTAACTTTACATTTTAGGAAATGAAGCCTAAAAATCGATTACTAATATGTATCGCAACAGTGTTTGGCCTGCTCTTGGGGCCAAATAAAACCTCATCCTGCTGCAGCTGTCAGCAGGTAAACAAATATAAAACATAAAATTGTGGACCAATGCATCCTTATAGATATCATCATCAACTTAAAGGAGAACTATGGGGTTAGGGCTTTTCCCCATAGTTCTCCGAAGGGTAACGGGAGGACACAAACTAGCGCCCTCCCGTTACCCAAAGCTTAGTATACCGCAAGCTGCAGCTCGCGGTATACTGAGACGCCGCAGCTGAAACGGATCCCGGCAATTATGTCTGGATCCGCCCAGCTGCGTGAGTGACAGCTGGCTCTGCCTATCTAGAGGCAGAGCCAGCTGTACTAACATAATGGAAGCAGCCTTGCCATGTTGTTAAAGTGTATATAAAGCCATTTTTGGTTCAGGTAGCGAAGTGAGTGGTTAAAACTTCTGTAGGGCTTTAATTGCCCGAGCCAAGCACCCTGCTTCTACATTGGTGTATGAGAAGTTAGCACATGTGGACTGTCTGTACACAGGATTTTAATGCTGTCTGTGTCCCTGATAGGGAAATTTGCTCTCTCTATTTGTCTGAAAGTGATAGAAAACCCAAATTTTGTAATTGTCACCAAAACAGGGGGATTTGTCTAAGATTGTTTCATCTGAGAGAGGAATGTCCCTGCATTGCAGACATATCTCACTTCCTGTTGTGTCTATAGGACAGAAAGTTAAGGAAAATGTCCCCAATAAGACATTAAAAAAAAAAAGAACAGGAGTTTTAACTATTCCCTACTCCCTACAAAATGAAAAATAAAATTTGGGCTCTAGTTATACTTTAGGCAGGGCACTTTATGTCTTTTCCTTACATCCTGGTCCAATCATGCAGTTAAGAAAACCTGCCTTAGACAAGGAAGTTGCTATTTAATGTAATGCTAAAACATACACTGAAATATACAAATTCAGTTCTTTTTTCATGTATTGCAGACAGTAAATAGTTGTTTTGCAGAAAGGGATAAAGGTCGAATACAAATAGAACAGTATATTTTATCTAAATGAACAGTTCTACAGAGCCGGTACTAGGAAGAAACGACCATTCCGAATTAATTTGGAGATTGTTAACTTTACATTTTAGGAAATGAAGCCTAAAAATCGATTACTAATATGTATCGCAACAGTGTTTGGCCTGCTCTTGGGGCCAAATAAAACCTCATCCTGCTGCAGCTGTCAGCAGGTAAACAAATATAAAACATAAAATTGTGGACCAATGCATCCTTATAGATATCATCATCAACTTAAAGGAGAACTATGGGGTTAGGGCTTTTCCCCATAGTTCTCCGAAGGGTAACGGGAGGACACAAACTAGCGCCCTCCCGTTACCCAAAGCTTAGTATACCGCAAGCTGCAGCTCGCGGTATACTGAGACGCCGCAGCTGAAACGGATCCCGGCAATTATGTCTGGATCCGCCCAGCTGCGTGAGTGACAGCTGGCTCTGCCTATCTAGAGGCAGAGCCAGCTGTACCCGCCCCCTCCCCCGTCTGTTCCGCCAGTCAGCGCTGGAGGATCGGACCTGGGAGGGGAGAATCCAGTCACTCCCCTGTCATGGCTCTCTGCAGTGACAGGATCGAGAAGTGAGCGAGCGCCGGTATGTGTTCGCTCACTTCCCGATCTACTGAGCCAACCTGTCACAGTTTAATTGTCACAGGTCGGCTCAGATTATGAGGCTGAGTGAAAAGCACTCACCTCATAGTTCTCCTTTAATCATCATATCTGTGATCCAGATACAGATGTTTTCACTGGAAAAAAGGCACTAACCAGGAAATTGTATTCCAATACCATGAGACACCAGGCAAAGGGGATACAAAGAAGAGAGGGGGAGAGAGAGAAGGGGAGAGAGAGAGAGAATATTAAATTAAGAGTAAGGCTTAGCAGAAATCACTCCAATTCCACAGAATGGTACAAGGGCAAATGTAGCTGAAGGCTTCTTCTTTCAATATGATTTTATAAGCTAATCTTCAAATAGCTCACTTTAATAGCTGGTAAAAGCTGGGAAAACTAAGAACTGGTAATTTGTTTTGTGCACTCATAGTTAAGTATACATCCCCCATGTATGTCTTCCTGGTTATAACATGATCAGCAGCTTGAAAATGTTTGGTATATACCCAAGAGAGGTCTACAGTTGCCTTGAGAGCCTCATCTTCTCATTGGATACTACACCTAATATAATGGGTAGAGCAAATTCATGGGTAAACTTTGCTCTCAGTTTAGTCATTTATATCGCAATTAGGACATTGCCAGAAGCCACATTAATAATGCTAAGTCTTTTCTACAAACATGACTCATACTAAGGGGTATCACTCTACTATATTGCTGCAAAAAAGATTTTGCTTACCTGTGTCCTATTCCACATGACTGAAGCTCTTGAATGACCAAGTTTATTCCTGCAAGGACCTTTGTCATAATGTCGCAAAAATATGTCATTCTACAAAACAACAACAAGACAAGGAAATCAATTTATTGTATATCACTGCAAATAAAGATGGTGTGTCATTTTGCTGCATGCAGACTTATCTAATCTGTATATCATCATGCAATTTAAGAATGTAGGCAATCGTGGTTGATGAATTCTATGTTTCTATATAAACTAGACTAATGTTCACCGATATATTCAATTGCATCCAAACATTCACAACCTGTAGTTTTACCTACCTTTCTGCCTGACACAAAGCGCCACTGGCTGGAACTTTAGAGGTTGCCAGTTTGTCCCTATGAAATCAGTCGCTCTGTAGCCAGAGGCAGCAAGAAATCATTGGCCCGAACACTGCTGAATCTCGATTGCTAGCATTGGAAGCAACATCTTAGCTACAGAGGGAGTGATTCCATAGGGACAAATTAACAATCCTGCCACTGACGTTTTGCACAGATCACCAGCGTCAGGATCGCTAGTGACAGTCGCCCGTTTGACATCAGCCTAGTTGGGCGTTGCTTTGTTGTTTTTGTTAACATGTTGTTTTGATGTTATTGTGGCCTTGTATGTAATAAAGTTCTGTTGTTGGAAGCTGTTTGTGTTGGCATTTACATAAAAGCAAGGAGTGGAGTCAAACAAAAGAAAAAAGTATTTCAGGTGAGTATTTCTGTTATGAAATAGTCCATAAATACTGCATACCTGTGTGTATCTAAAGGTGCCCATAGATTGCACAATTATCGTACGAGAATCGCGGGAAATCCCGCGATCGTATGATAATCGTGCAGTGTATGGAAGGCGTGCGACCGTTTCTACTGTATGGTTGCACGACTTTTGTATTTCGAGCATGTCGAGAGATAAGCATGATCGAGAGATAACTGCCGAACGGGCCCTTTTAGCATTGCAGTCATCGGAAGCCTGCCCCTCAGGGGCGCGGGCTTGCCATGATCGCAAGTACGATCTGCCTGTCCAAGATGGACAGATCGTACGTTTTTTAAATTACTTTGCAACCCTCGCAAGACCAAAGTCTTGCGAGGGTTGTAAAGTGTATGGCCACCTTTAGTCATGTCAAGTAAACAGCTAATTTCCAGGACCTACACATTACCGATTGGAAGGGTTGACCAATCACAACCGAAAAACTCCCATGCACAAGATTAGATTAGCATATGCTGTTATGTGACACAATCATGAAATAACATTTGCAAAGAAGTTTCAGAATTTGCAAGAAAACCAGTTTTCTAGTTTTATACAGAGTGCGGAATGGTTAGAACCCCTGACAGGTTTTTTTGCTCAAAATGTGAGAAAAGCAGTAACCAATGAGTAACCAATCAGTGAGACCAAAACAATTATTTAGTTCATGTTCAAATGAAATAAAACAGATCTGGTGCAGTGCATGAAAACAGCCTCACCAAAGCCAGTCAGCTCTACTGATCTATCAGGTCACTCACAATACAGGATATTAAAGAAGGACTGCGGGAATTTCAAAAACGTACCCTTGCAGTGGGGCTACCCCTGCACTGCAAGGATTAAGTGCTCATTTTGTCTAGGAGGCTCAGATAAAGCAAATATACTCACCTGACCCTCGGTCCGCACTCACCTCTCTCCCCATCCATGCTGGCTATGGATCTTCATAAGATGTGATGACGGCAGTAGTCCTCAGACAACTGAAACCCAGAAGAGGCTGTGAGGACTGATCTAGCAGCCCAGTGGGACAGAGGATCAGGTGAGTATATCTCTTTATTTGAGCCCCCCAGACAAACCCTTAACCCTTGCAGTGCAGGGGTAACCCTACTGCAAGTGTTAGTTTTTTTTTTTTTATTCCTGGAGGTCTTTTTTAACAATGAGAAGATCTAGTGCATCCTTTACACATTTTATTGTTGTCTGTGTTGCTACCGGAGAGAATTAACTTTGCTTCCTATATTTGCACAAAGGTTTTAACTATTTCCCACTCTTATTCCAAACTAAAAAGACATTTTTGGTGCAGCTCCACTTTAAACTTTAATCATGCTTTCTTTGTATGGCATTTGAATACAGCATGTTATTGCCAAGCATGCACAATGTAAACACGGAAACTAGTACTGATATGAATCGTCAGTTATTTTGTACTCTGACCTTTGTTCCCATTTAATATGCCTTCATAATAAGCTATTTTTTAACATAAATGCTTCACAGGCATCCGAATTTTCACTTTTCTGTATAGCAAAGCATTTAGAAACCAGATTATGGGCCACATACATTGTGAAGCTATAACTTTTTGCTTCAGAAAACTGTAAACATTGTGCTTCGATGAAATTAGATTTAACACAGCTGTAAAGTGTATGTGTAAATGGGCTCTGTTTATTATGTACACAATCATTATCAAAGCATATCAACTATCACTATACCGACCTGCTTCAGCCTTGGCTGTCTAACTTTCAGGCTGACATTTATGGCTCTAAATTGTAATATTTTACCTTCATATCAACATTGTAAAAACCATTTAAACACATGCTGTTTCCTATCACAGAACCACTACTAAGGAAAGGATGTGTATTTGTTTTACTCCATTTTTAGCAACCAATCCAAACTAACAAAGAAGGTCTAGGATTGTATAGGACTTTCTTATAGAAGCTTTTAATAAAAAGATGACAAACACAGGGAACACAGATTTAATATGGTGCTTGCTAACAAATGAAACTAGATAACTATATTCTAAACAGGAACCGTGGCTTTCTAGTTTTGCACTCCATGGAAATTTGAACTATTTCCAACTATGTGTGGTATTAAGCAATCAATTATGTTTGTTTGTACCAGCTGGCAGACTGCGTTACAGTTTTGGGAATTGAGAACACTGCATAACGCTCACCTTTGGTCTCTGCAGGGACAAAGCAGGATGATTGGCATTCTATGCAGGAATCTCTGATAGACCAACTCCATTCAAAACTTCTCTTTTAGTTCTGGATAGAGAGGGAATGGGTCAGTCATTCCATCTCTATCCAACTTCTGTCATTTTGTTTTCCCTATGAGATTCTTCTTACTTTTTGTGTGGTCACCGGGACAGGATGTGAACAGAACCTCTCACACATGGGCAAAAACAGGAATACAATATAAAAAAGACAAGGAGAGCCTTAAGCCTTTGTCAGGTTTATAGTGAAGTCTGCACCCCTGTTGGGGAGAATAACCCTTGTTTCCTGAACCATTGCAGGATGCACAGGAAATAAGGGTAAGATAAAAATTTGCAATAAAGTCTGAAAGAGGTTTTAACCCCTTTCCACACTTTTTAAAATAAAAAAGTAAAGTGACACTAAGCTCATAAGTTAAACCTTAAAATGCATTCACGTACCTTAACTATTAACAAAAATGTATCTTTATAGTTCATCAAGGGAGCAAGCTTGGAGCGGTGGCTCAAATGGATTCAAAAAGAGTCAATTTAAAAATCTCTAAAAGTTAAAAGTCGGTGGAAATTTCAGAATATCAGATGCGGTCACTGTTCAGGTATTCAGGTGCCATGGGTACTGAATACAATGGCTGGCAGTGGAAATTCCTCCATCCACGCTGTTTAACATCAATAGGGGAATTGATTCATTTTCTCGGGTTAAGCACACAGGTTGAACAAGTGTATGGCTAGCTTAAGGCTGTCCTAGATGCAGAAATCACTAGGGAAGAACTCGGGATAAGAGACCTGTCGGATGTTGTCATGATCGCTGCACTGTTGAACCTGCTGCTACATATTTACTTGATTATGCAACACCAAACCTCAGCACAAGCACAGTGACCACATGCTATAAAATCTCTACAAGGAGTTAATAAGAACTTCCAATGCGAATGTATACTTAATAAAGTACACCTGCCATGAAAGAAATATGAGGTCTATGATTGCTGACCCCCTGAAATACTAGTTACTTGGCTCTCCTGCTAACCCTCTGGCTTTAACACTTTCAGTCACCTGGAACAAGTGTGCAGATCAGAAATATCGATAATACTTATTTTCATACCTGCTGAAGCCAAAGAATCAGCATGACATCCAACAGGGTAGCATTTCCAGAAATAGGGTACAATAATTGTTTCCTCTATGGTGAAGAGATTTATATTTTGGTGTTAATTTAAATCCCTGTACTGTCTCTTTTAGCATTAGTTATATGCTCGCAGGCAGTAGTGAAATGAACACAGGAAACCAGTATAGTTACATACAGTAGTTACATAGTATTTGGGGTTGAATAAAGACATATGTCCATCAAGTCCAACCCATATAGGTCCACACATCATCTCATTCTTAGGGATACTGGTATCCCTGGATATTACGGTATTGAATTGTTTCCCTTTAAAAGCCAGTGCTGTTAACCTCAGACATCTGAGCTTTTGTGTTCTTTCATTTTGTCCAGGTTATTAAAAACTGTGTTCTACTTAGAAAATATTATTCAGAGGCAGCCAACTACAAAATCCAAGGGAAAGTTGTAATGCCATTAATAATTTACTGGCAAATGGTTAGGATTCTGCAGTAACTACCATAATGCACATTCAGTTGCTAAGCAATACAAATAAATGTCACTAATCTACCATTACAAAACACGTCACCTATTGCTTTGTCTTCTATCTTATTTGTCTGTCAGACAACTCTATTTTAAAGCTAATTATATATCAGCCAGAGAAATTGAAACTTTTATAGAAAAGCATAACTTCTATTTATTTACAATCTGAAGTAAAAATACTACCCACACCTTTTAATAAGGTTAACTAAGATAGGGTTTATTCCTTGTCAGGTCTATAGAGCTGTCTAGGGCAGGGATGGCCAAACTCCGGCCCTCCAGCTGTGGTGAAACTACAAATCCCATGAAGCATCTCTCTCCGGGAGTCATGTCTGTGGCTGTGAGAATCTTGCAAAGTCTCATGGGATTCGTAGTTCCACGACAGCTGGAGGGCCGCAGTTTGGCCATCCCTGGTCTAAGGGCAGGGAGATCTTCCTGAAACCCTGGTCACACCTAGACAGTCAGAGCTATTTTTCACAAAATGGGGTGTATAGGGATAGAGAGTGCAGAAGTCTAGAGGACCATTGCTGTCCCACGCTACAGGTTCTAAAGTGTAGTGGGCATCATGGGTGTAATATCCCACCTCAACCTAGCCACTGAATCATCACGTTCTCAAACAATTCATCCCCACACAGCTACCTCATCATGTATCACTTCTCCCTTCCTTTTAGATTGTAAGGCCTCAGGGGCAGGGCCCTCCTTACCATCTTGTCTGGAATTGTATTGTATTTGTAATGTCTTCCTTATATTGTAAATCGCTGCACAAACTGTTGGCGCTATATAAATCCAATGTAATAATAATAATAATGGGGTAAGGCTTTTGGTCCCTAATATTTAAGTGATTTAAGAGCCTCCACCGAACCAAGGACTGAGGCATCAAGGACTGTGGCAGAGTTACTCAGATCAGGGTTGAGCAACCAGTGGGCAGTTACCAGTTGAGTAGTCATACAATATTTATAGAGGTCAGGCATAGCCAAGCTTCTTTAGCTTAAACTGGTCTGGTGAAGGTGGAAAACTTTAGCGAGGGACCTGTGTTACCCAAAGAAAGGAGTGGAACAGTTGAGGGAGGGTCTTGAAAAAGGTTTTGACATGTGAATTCCTGAACACGAAAGAAAATTTGGCCAGGATTTTAATTTTCAAAAGATTGATGTGCCATACGAGGGAAAGGGGCAGGTTGCACCATGCCCACAGCTAACCTTTTCTAACATGTGAACTAGAATTAATTCAACAAAGTTTTCAATCCTAATTAAAATTGTGATTCCCAGTTATATACGTGTTGAGACCTGTTGCATTGGAATATAGGCATTTGCCTTTGTTGCGGCCCCTGTTCAATAAGAAACAGCAGTGACTTATTCCAGCCTATTCTGAGGCCAGAGATTCACTCTACAGTAATGAAATTCTTCTCTATATCAAGAGAGGCCACAACTCTCCTGTCAGAGCTAGTATGGGTGGCATGTATGTAAAAAAAAATCTTCTGATGTTGATGTCTTTGGATGTGAAGGCGATGAAACCAGTTTGATCTGCACCTATAACAGTTGCAATTGTTTTGTGCAATCAAGTTAATAAAACTTTTTGTAAAATTGTTTAAGTCTCAGTTAAGAGAGCGATTGGTCTATATGAGGAGCAGAGGATAGGGTCATTTTGTGGTTTGTATATGAGAACAATATGGGGGTAGAACTTCCTGATCTAGGCAAAATTAAATTAAAAACTTCAGATTTTTTTGTAGAATTCCATCCAGGCGGGGGCCTTCCCAGTGGAAGAGGACCCAATGACCATGAGGATCTCCTGTAATTTCAGATTCCAGGTCTTGAACCACCTCAGGATGTATGGCATACATCAGTGGCAGAGATAGGGTTAAAGGAGGTCAGATACGGTTTAGAAGATGGCTAGAACAAAGACAGAAGCACCTGTGAAGAAAGTCTTACAGTAATGCATGGTACCTCACTATGTAAGTGTTAATGCATTGCAGTATCATTTATTTTGAATGGCACTACATAAATGGCACTACAGTGCAACACACTGCAGCGCATCACAATGCACTCCTGTGTGTTGCCATGCATTGAGTTCCTGAAAAAGGGGGTCAAGGGCACTTTTGGCTGCACTGGACACATGTTAACACTGGGGCATTTGGTCACTATATGCAACTGAAAGTTCTTTTTATTGAATAAAAAAAACCTCAAATACATGGGAAGCTGGAGAAAAACAACAGAATTAAATATACAGAAATAACATATTATAAATCAATAATGTCAGATACTTACATCAAGATTTTGTAAGCAGTACCAGCAGAATGTGTGTTTACAGTTTTTGCACATCATTTGTGCACAGCCTTCATTCCTCTCAATGTAAATATGACACACAGGACATTGCTTGATACAAGCATCTACATCTGTGCAGCCATCCCTAAGGAGGAAATAGATTAAATTAAACAAGTCAACCAGCAAGTTTTTATCACTTAGCCACACTTCAGGGACACAACTGAACTTTTTAACTGCAGTACCCAGCATATTCTGCTCATAAGGTTACATTAGGTTAACCAGTTGTGGACCTTGGGTGTGCTCACACCCCAAAAACACTTCACCAAAGTACACAGCTAAAGCAACCTGACAAGTGAATCAAAAAATATTTTTTTATAAAGAGTAAGGGGCTGTATTGAATTGGTTATTATTTTTAAACTTGTCAAACCCTTGTTTTGTGCTTATTGTAAGGAACGTGTAAAAATGCCTGCTTAGAGATATTTAGGTTCCATCAACTATCCCACTGTATAAGCTCCATATCTTTTTTTTAACCATATATGAATGTTGGTGCCTCCAATCAGGTAATCAGCAGGGGTGGGGGATCAATAATATACTCCATGCTACAGGGCCCTTCCACTAAGCAACCCTTTATGTTGGCCTGGGAGTTCTATCTTCTTTTGTGGCGGACACTTGGAGTCGTTGTTGCTCAGTATGCTTAACGTCTGTTTACTTGAAGCTAATTATAAAGTGCTTTCCAGATGGTACCTGGTTCCTACTAGACTGGCCTCTATGTATCCGGGGACATCCCCTTGGTTCTTTAGTGGATGTGAACTTCAAGGCAGTTATTTATATTTGGTGGTCCTGTCCCAGAATTCGTAGCTTTTGGCGTAAAGTGTTCTCCCTTATTTATAAGGTTACTGGTGTACAGGTGCCCAGGGATCCTAGGTATGCTCTTCTCAAAAAGCAAATCGCTTGGATATCGAAATATACTATAAAGTTGATCTCTTTTAAGCTGGCCATACACCTTACAATTATCTGCAGATTTTCTCTGGTCAGATGGAAAAAGTGCAACAGATTCCTCCATCTACACTTAAATGTGTGGATGGAATAATCTCCACCTGGGCCAAGTTTCAGTATCTTGCTAGTCAGCCCCACTGGCTCTCAAAACACCTGAACAATGCCTGCATCCAATCAGACTGTTCAGGTATTTTGGGAGCCAGCGGGGCCGACTAGCAAGATACTGAAACTTGGCCCAGGTGGAGATTATTCCATCCACACATTTAAGTGTAGATGGAGGAATCTGTTCCACCTTTTCCATCTGGCCACAGAAAATCTGCAGATAATTGTAAGGTGTATGGCCAGCTTTATGTTCCTGGCAGCTAAAATGTAATTGACCAAAGCCTAGAAATCCCCTAGGGTGTCATTGGCCCTGGTTAAAGCTAAATTGTCCTGGGTTATGAACCATGAAAAGTTGTCTAGCATCCTTTTGGATACTCAATCACGCTTCAAGCTCACTTGGCATCCCTGGTTACAGTTTATTGATCCACATCGGACTTCTTAGCTTGGTGTCTGGTTAGCTTAGTGAGCATGCCTCACTCTCCGAACCTCTCTTCTTCTCCCTCCTTCCTCTCTTTCTATTCTGTCCCTGTTCCTCCTGTTTTTTCAAGTTCTACCATATTGCTATCTCTGGCTATTTGTATTTCTGGTGTATTTGTATGTTACAATGTTTTGCTAAAAAATGTATAAAACTATTTGAAATAAACATTTATACTATTTTCCAACAATAACATTTTGTTTTAAATTAACACTGTGTTTTGGTTTTGTTACTTTTGGATAGGAGAAGAAATAGTCATTATTGGGAGACAATGCCACCAAAAAAAAACCTCTTGTTTGCCCTAAAGAAGAAAACAATATGTGCATTACTTTGTCATCTTAAAGTAGTATTACATTCTCAAACGTTTTTTTACATTTGAATCCAGATAAGAAAAATATACATTGCTTAGCATTTCTTTTAATATTTTCACCCGAAGCACTTAATTCACGCTAGTTGTGAATGTGCGTTTTGGGATTCCTGCGGCAGGAACCTATGAATTCCTGTGGCAAGAATTCCAAATATGCTGTTCAGAAGTGGCCACTGTCACACGTTACATAGGGGTCTATTCACAAAGCTGCCGAGGGCAGCCGAGTGAATGACCGATCAGAAGTGAAGTGAGCCGAACACTGTTTTCAAAAGCATTGGGACATTACTATTGGCTATTTCAATTTGCAATAGCCAATAGTAAACTAGCATTGTTCCCGCCCTCTGCTGGTGGACCTGGTGGGGAACTGCAAAAGAGGGCGGGTACAATGCTAGTTTACTATTGGCTATTG